GGTTGTCATCTTTATGGCATGGTAAGAAACACCAGTTTTAGCACTTAAATGGGCAGCAGCCCTCCGGGGCTCATCATTTGCCCTTGCTGGATGATGAATCATAGAATGGTTTGGATTGGAAGAGACCTTAAAGCTCATCTTGTTCCAATCCTCTGCCATGGGCAGGGACACCTTCCACTAGACTAAGTTGCTCCAAGCCCCACCCAACCTGCCCTTGAACATTTCCAGGGATGGGGCAGCCCCTGAGCTACCCGAAGACAAGAGATAACAGCTTTACATCAATCAGGTTCTCCCTCACATCCTTGAGGGAAGTTTTTTTTTTCTCCCCACCAACATCACAGGTAGCTCAGCACAACACAACCAAAGGTAACACACTGCTGTGCACAGGTAATTCACGTGGTGTGTTTGGTTTTCCCCTCTCCCACTGAACTTCACTACCAGAGCCACGTACTTCCTGTTGTCCTTCAGTGGCTGGTGGTCGTAGAACCAGTCCAGCACAGGGGCATCCTCCTCGGGATCCAGCTCGAGCTGGATCGCTTCCAGGGGCTCCACATCCAGGATGTTATCAGCATAATCCAGAGGGGGCTCTTCATCATCGAACGGGGGGAATCTCATCCTCTTGAAGTGACGCCTGTCCCTCTTCTCCCGCCTCATCATGATCCACATCGACCTGCGGGAAGCCAGAGATGGTTAAACGAGGCTTTTAGGGTGGAAGCACAAGAGTTTTCCTCCCTGGATGAGGGAAGAAGGCACCTACCCCCACTGAGCAATGTACACAGGCTCGATGACCCAGGGGATCTCGTTCACAAAGGAGATGGCACCGGTGATGTGGTAGAGGACCGGAACGTCTCGGATTTGCTCCCAGGGCATTGGCATGTTCTCCAGGAGCTTCAGCACAGCATGAGGCATGTACTTCAGGGCTCTACAGTCAGAAATCGAGGAAAACCAGGGTTGGAACTGGTCTTGAGAACAGCCATCCTGCCACAAACCTTCACACCCTTCCCTCCTGCGCACTGCTCATCCAACCTGTTCACAAAGGCTCCCAGTGACAAATCCATGAACTTCCCACTCTATCTTTGGGCTTCATGCACTGCACTACCAAAAGGCTTTCTACTGATTTGGCTTCCAAGAATGTTACAAACAAAGATTAAGTTTTTTAAGGGAGTTTCTGGAGTTTTTATGGGTAATGGTGAGTTAGTGCAACAGATCATGATGTGTACGAGACAGCTCTCTGTACCCAAACAGGAAAGATGCACTCAGGATGCTTTTTAATCCTGAAAAAAATTATGTCAGCTACTTCAAACTCTCCCTCAATGTCTTCTAAGACACTGTATTGCCCAGGGCAAAGTTTTTTCTTATAAATTCAAACCAACAACTCTTTTTGCTGATCCTCTTCTGCACTGATACCTCAGGGCAACAAATGAGCTACAAGTGACAAAGAGAGGCCTTTGGAGAAGGGGTTTTCCTTTCCAGGATGTATTATCCTGGGTAACTTTTTCCTCACAAATTCAAAGCCACAGCTTCCTCCACTGATACCTCAGGACATCCTCACTGAGCTACAACTGACAGGGAGAGCCCCTTCTCCAAAGGGTAACAGGTCATTCAACGATGTGTTATTATCCAGAGTAATGGGTAATTAAGAGGGTTTTTTTCTCATAAATTCAAAACAACAACTCTCTTTGCTGATCCTCTTCTGCACCGAATCCTCGGGGCAACGGATGAGCTACAACTAACACGGAAGAGCCCTCTGGAGAAGGGTCTCTCCCTTTAAACCATCAACAAGGAGCTCTTACAAGGCGTCAGAGAAGGATCAGAGGAGGATGCCCTCGGTTCCCCAGGTGCCACATCCCGGGGTATGGGGGCGTCCCTTACCCCAGGTAGACGCGCTTGTCGTGCCGGAACTTCCTGTTGGTCATGTCGCCGTGGTCGCGGATGATCTTTCGGACGTGCTCGGGGGGCATGTCCTCCTTCTGCGCATCCACGAACCCGAATTTCCTCTTCTCCGCATAGCGCTTGGCCTGCAGCTGCTGCCACTTGCGGGCTGCGGGGACACAGAGCGGCGGCGCTCAGGGCCTGGCCCCCCCGCCCCCGCGGGAGCTCCTAGCGCGGGCCGTACCCACCTCTCCTGCAGCTTCTTGCTCGGACTGTTAGTCGGGCAGCGGACCATCTGGCTGTGGGCACCGCGGCGCAGCCGCCGCGGTACGGAACACGGCGGCCATGGGCGCACGCAACCTGCGGGAGTTGAGAGGCTCAGGCGAGGTTCGCGAGAACGCCGCGGAAGCCCCCCGGCCTTCCCCCGCCTGCCTCGTCCCGGCCCCGCCGCCCCCCGCCCCCTCACCGCGGCCCGGCCCCCCGCGCTCCCCTCACCACAATTGGTCGGCCCCGCCAGCCGCCCTCGGAGACCGGAATGGGAGGACGCGCGCCACTGCGCTGCCCAATTCAGCTTCTATCGGTGCAACGTAAGAGACAGCATTGAGAGGCCTATCAGAGGCCGAGGGCCTGGAGCAGGACTGTAGGCGGAAGAGGAGGAGAAAGGTATGTGGGTCCGCCCGTACGCTGCATTCCGATTGGACGGAGGAAACGCCTTACAGCGCGCGCCGGCCTCTGATTGGACAGCGCCTGACTCGTCACACCCCGCCCCGGCGTAGGGCGCTCGCTGCTGCAGGCGCCCGGACGGGGGGACCGGACCCCACCGTAGGTGTCTATGGCAGGGACCCTCAATCGAGCACATTCCCGGGACATTCTCCGTCGGGACATGCCCCCCGGGCCTGTAACATCCCCGCCATTGGGGCAGACCCGCCTACCAGCCTCCCCAAGGGGCTGAACCCCACCCCACTACCTCCGGCGGGCAGGAGGATGCTGCACCCCAGGGAGTGATGCCTCCCTCTTCCCAGCACTGCCCCCATGGCCATACTATGGCCCCTAATCCCCTAGCAAGTAGCCACCCCCCACCTTGGTGCCCCCTTCTTGCCCCCCCCTAGCCCCCAGAGCTTGCCCCTCATCTGTGAGAACACGAGGCTCAGCTCGCTGTAGGCACAGAATTGGGTTTAATGTGTTGTCACGGGTCACCCAGCAGCTGGGCACTCACACCCCACCAGGATGGAGGGTCCCCTGGGGGTCCCCGTGGGGACAGGGGGCTGTTTTGGGGGGATATCGCCCATTGGATGTGGCTGAAGGGGCTGTGAGTGGGTGGAAGGCTAGGGGGTGTTTCCCTGACAGAAGCTCCCTCCAGCCCCATGATCCCCTGAATGAGGGCAAGGGAGGGGTAGGTCCTTCCCAAAACCCTTCAAGCTAAGGCTGTGGTGCTTTTCATCAGGATGGACAAGCACAGGGTATCCCCATGTCCGACCTCAGTGACATGCAAAGCTGCTGCTTGTTCCACCTCAGCCCTGCGGGAAAATCACGGTGGATTACAGGCTCCAAAAACAGGCTCCCCTGACCCCCAACCCCACGTGCCTGGGGTTCACAACATCCATGTGACAGCAGGAATGTGGCAACACAATCCAGGCCTTGAGAAACTTTCCTGGTGTGGGCAGAGGCCGGAGGGCAGGGCACAGATCAGCAGAGCAGCTCCGGGAAAACTGGGCATAAACAGGTCAAACCAAATGCCTGGATGACAATTCCGCTCTAGCTGGGAGCTGTGAGCAGCACACTGCACCTAAACACCACTTGAGGTGACAACCCCAAACGTGGAGTAGGTGTCTGCAGCACCTGGAAGCTTTCCCTGTGCTCTCCACAAATAGAAACGTAAGCGGCTTTGGCTGTGCATTGTCTCCCACTGTCCATGGATCACTCGTCTTTCCCTGCCCAGCAGGAATGTGTCTCCCTCCTCAAAACCCTCTCTCGAGCAGTTCCTTGTGCCAGCTTGTCCCCAGGCTTTTCAAGCCAAATGAGGGAATTTGTGTTAAAGCTTATTTGCCACACAGGAAGCACAACTCATGCAGTGGATTTCTCCAAACTGGTACACGTAACTCCAAGTGGGATGATCTCGTTACATACACAGTGCTGGGCTGCTAGGGAACAGTTCAGTGTGTGAGAATTTGTGGTGAAAGGGAAACGTGGAGTAAAATATATTTAAAAATTCTGATTCCTTGTCCTAGGGAGCCTCCAGGGACAGGCAGAGGAAATGAAATGGAAATAGTTATGCTGTGCTGTGTCCTGCTCTGGTCCCTCGATTCAGGAAGGACATTGAGGTGCTGGAGCATATGCAGAGAAGGGCAATGTAGCTGAGGAAGGGTCTGGAGCACAAGTCCTGTAAGAAGAGGCTGAGGGAGCTGAAGGGGCTCAGCCTGGATAAAAGGGGGCTTGAGGGGGGGACTTTCTTGCTCTCTAGAGCTCCCTGACAGGAGGGTGGAGCCAGGTGGGAGTCAGACTCTGCTCCCAGGGAACCAGCAATAGGACAAGAAGACATAGCCTCAAGCTGTGTCACAGGAGGTTTAGGTTGGACATAAGGAAGAAATTCTTCACATAAAGGGTGATTATACATTGGAATGGGCTGCCCAGGGAGGTGGTGGAGTCACCATCCCTGCAGGTGTTTAAGGAGAGACTGGATGTGGCACTTGGTGCCGTGGTCTAGTTGATGTGCTGGTGTTTGGTCATAGGTTGGACTCGATGGTTTCGGAGGTCTTTTCCAACCTAAATGATTCTGTGAGAAGGCAGGAAGCTTTGCTGCAAGCCAGCATCCCTCAGGGGGAATGGAAGCAGCGAAGCCACGGGCTGGGTGCTCAGCCCAGAGCCTGCCCTGGCTCAGAGCCAGCACCACCCTGACCCCACAGGTGACTCGGTGCAGGAGGGCTAAAGGCAGGGCCACAGCGGGGCTGGCTCCCATCCTGCCACCATCCAGCCTCCCTATTGCCAGCTCCAAGGAAAGCGCAGCCTTCCCTTGCCTAGGAGGGCAGGAGAACATCAGCAGGAACAGGAGAAACCTTCATCTTCCTCCACAGAAAGGAGAGAGGGGGGAAAAAAAACCCAAGAGAGGTAGAGTGTGCCAATGTGCAGTGTATTTTCCCTCCATGGCAAGGAGACATGGGATAAGGACTGTGCTGAGCAGTGACACCCCTGGAGTGGGCTGTGATGCTGAGTCCTTTTTTCCTCTAAGTCCCTTCCCCTCAAGCCATTTCATTTACAGCCATTTATTAAAAGCTGGTGTTAGTAAGAGCCTTTGCTGGTGGGTAAGTGTCGGGCTCTGCAGCACAACTTGTCATTCCTAACAGATGTCTAAATCCTAAAGGTGCCTATGCCTGAAAACTCCACATCTGTGGGAAGTGGCCATCACATAACATCATCCTTCCAGCAACTTGCACTCTCCCAAGCTTGTTTAAGGGCACTTCAACTATGTGAGACAAAACAACATGAAAAATGTTCCAGTTTTCACAAGAGGGTGGTGCTGTAGCACCCACTGCCCAGTGTTTTCCCCCTGACCTGGACACCACCGTGGGCAGCAGCCCACCCAGCCAGGTCTCAGCCTCTCCCTCCATCACCCACCTGGGACAATCTCCTCGGGGAGGGTCCATCAGTGCAGGATTTGGCTTTTACTGGCCTCGAAGGCCTTCTTTCCTGGTGGTGCTCCCATGGGAAGTGCCACAAAGGATGCAGTGTCCTGTGACTGATGGGACGCTGGGGGCTGCAGCACTGACGGGGTTAGAAACACACTGTGGTGTCTGGATGTCCAGAGGAGCAGTGGGGAAACAGTGCTCCACTGCTCCCTTCTCATCTCGGTGGTGCCCCGGGGAGCTGTGAGAGCTGTCGAGGCTTCTCTGAGCAGCTCCCACTTGTTCAACCACGTCATCCAAAGGTCTTTGGGGAGCAGAGCCACAGTGCCTGTTCCATGAGCACCTTCTCTGTCGTGCAGGGCCCAGAACCTTCAGCCACAAGAAAAGCCTGGATGCTCTGTTAGTGCAGGCCCTCCACACAAGGTATTGAAACAGCCACATTCACCCTCCACCGTGCTTTGCTGTGGGTTCAGAGCAGCTCATCCCCCTGACCCCGCAGGGAAGGGGGGGGCTATTGTTCCTTCTCCCGCTGCACGTCCCGGCTGGATCTGAGGAAGTCACTGCGCAGCAGGCGGTAGAAGAGGATGATGTTCATGGGTGTCATGATTGCCATGCCCACCATGCCCACCGCGTACGTCACCGGGGGCACGTTCTGTCGGTTGAGGAAGAGCCAGCGGGTCATCCAGGCCAGCGTGGCGATGCGAAACACCACGTAGGTGCCCAGGTTGACGATGCTGTTGAGGCGGTAGCAGGTGGTGTGCACCAGGTTGGCCATGAGAAGGATCTGCCGCAGGTGGAGGAAGATGGAGTTGATCTCCACCAGCAGAGCCACGAGGGCAAAGCCGACGTACTGATGGAGCAGCACAGCAATTCCAAAGCAAACAATCACCTGGAAAGGAGGAGGAAGAGAGGCTGGTTGTTCTCGGCTGCTGACAGCTGGAACCTTCTAGGCTGGGGCACAGCACGGAGCAGAGGTGGAAAGGATTATTACAGCAGTGCCAGGCCGCTGGTCATCACCCCACACATCTCTGCAGCATCAAAGCCTCCGGCCAGTGCTGCAGCCTCAGGAATAAAGTAAAGCCTTTTCGACCTTTGCATGAAACCTGAGTGTTTTTTTTTTGTTCCAGTGGGAGGAGAAGGAAAACAATTCTATAAGCTCCAGGTTGGCAGAGGAGACAAAGCAGCCTGACCTAACCCTGGTTTTGTGGCCTAGGGAATGCAGTCGGGTGTGGCCCAGCAGGTTTTTCCACACACAGTGAATAGGCAGGAAGGGAGACGTGTAGCCCAGGGCTACAGTTGGAGCTGGCTCTGGGATTCTCCCGGGCATGCTGCAGGGATTAAGAGGCTTTGGTGTATCAGAGAGCCCCGTGGGATGCCCTGAGGGTGGCCTGAAGCTCCCTGGGGTTGCTGGGTGCTGCAGCAGAGGACAGGGCTCTTGGGGGCAGAGCGGGCGATTCCTGCCCCGCACCCTCCCTGCCAGGCAGGGATACAGGCTCTGCCTGCCCACACTCCAGCACACTCAGTCCTTTCTTTGGTTTATGCCATTAATGCTGTTCTCTGTACGGGCTCTGTAATGAGATTATCTGCTCCCTGTTAAGTCACTGTCTTGGCTCGAATTAACTCTATTGTGGAGATGAACTTTTGGTTCACTGGGCTCTGTGAGAGAGCAGGTCTGACCACTGCCTCCCCTGTCTCATCCCAGGTAGGTCTCAGCGCTGTCCCTGTCCCCCACCCCAGGCCTTGCACACCCCTCTGCCTCCCCATACCCCACAGTGTCTCTGCTACTCAGCTCCAGGCTGTGTGACCCCCCAGCCCTGCAGCATCCCCAGTCTTAGAAACATAGAATTGTTTAGGTTGGAAAAACACTCCAGTGTCTGGACATCGGAGGTGATCAAAGAGAAAGCCATGCTGGGTGCAGCCAGAAGGCACTGGTGTGGGGGGTCCTGCACCACAGCTGCTCCAGCCACCCCAGCCCCAGATGATGGGAAAGCACCTCGGGGAGTGTGAGGTGGAAGCAGGGGCTGTGCAGCCCTTCCTGGCAAATGCTCAAGTGGCTGAGAGCCAACAGGAGCTGTGCTGCCAGTGTGGACACCTGGGTCACAGCCTGACCACATCACTGTTATGGATCAGCCCCCCCAGCCCAGCCCTCTTTGCCCTATGCTGTGTACACGTGTTCTTTTCCTACCCAATCCCTGGGTGTCTTTCTGCAGATCCTCAGAGAGTATGTGTGTCCTGCAGTCTGGGCTCCCCTCCCCAGGCAGAAAAATCTGTCAGATTTTTGTAACAGGCAGCAAATACCCACACTAACAGCAGCAGGAGCCCCACTCATGTCCCCCAGCCCCAGCCTCCCTGGTGGTGCATGTGCTGGTGAACTCACCACAGAGTGATGGAAGAGCAGCTCCCAGGATTGGTGAAGTTTCTGATTGCACAACATGTCCACAAAGTCTTCAAGGAAATAACCTGGGATCAGAGGAGCCATGAGCAAAGAAGGGGACCAGGAAGGGCTGTGCCAAGGGACCCCCACGCCACAGTGGGCTCTGCACCTGACTGGGCTGGGCAGCCCCTCTGGGGAAGTGATGGCCACAGCTGTGTGAGTGGTGAGTCACACGCAGAGCACAATTACACACAGCAGGAGAAGGAAATCAGTGTGGTTTGGGTCCCTCTTGCAACCACTCTGTAGGACATGCCTCTTGGAAGAGGCACTAACTAACTCCACCAACACCATATGGGCACTTTTGGGATGCCCCAAGCCCTGGCTGCCCCCCGAGGGCAGTGGTGGGCAGCCTGGTGCCCTGTACCTCCTGGCCGCGGGTGCCCTGAGACAGAAAGGAGCCACTGTCCTTTGCAAGAATAGGGCGATTGTCTGAGGTGCCTGAGGCATCGCTGCCTGCGACGTGGCTTGAGGGGCTGGTGTCAGGCACCGACGAGCCCAGGGAGACCTCCCCCGGGGGCCAGAAGAGGGGGAAGCCCACTCCCCCCACCTCACCTACAGACACGGCGACCAGGCTGTGCGCCCCGGGCGGGTGTGTGCCCACCAGGTCCTTGGACAGCTCGGGGTGGAGGTAGAACCTGCGGAGAAGTTGGGAGTGATGGGCAGTGGCTCTGGTTCCCCAGTGCCCTCCCAGTGCCCTCGGTGCCCACCTTGTTCTGCTGGTCGACCCATAGCCACCTCTCTCCTCTTGCTTTCCCTGGAGTCTCCTTATCCCCCGCTGCTTGGTGCCTCCCTGTCCCTCGGACCTTCCTCCATCTCTCGGTGCCCCCCAGTCTCCATGTCCCCACACTCCTCGTGGTCCCCCCATTTCTCCCCGGTGGGCTCAACCTCCCTC